TTCTCAGCCCTGTGTTTTCAGCTTACCTGTGTCCTTACATTTAAAGTGAGTCTCTTGTAGATGCAGTAGACAGTTGGACCCTATTTTTTTTTTTAACACATTCTGCCAATCTGTCTTTTGACTGGAGAGTTTAATCCACTTACATTTAAAGTAAGTGCTAATAGGAAGGGACATATTTCTGACATTTTACTTTTTGCTCTCTGTATGGCTTATAGGTTTTTTTGTTCGTCACTTCCTACCTCCATTCCTTTCGGTTCAGTTGATTTTTGATAATGACAAGTTTGGATTCCCTTCTCCTTCCTTTTGTGTATGTTTTACAGATACTTCCTTTGTGGTTGCCATGGGAATCACCTAAACTGTCTCCTCATAACAGCCTATTTTAAACTGACAATCATTAGCTCAACGGCATACGATAATTCCCCTCGCCCCCGTGTAGCTCTGCCATTCGCGTGACCAATGTCCCAGATCACATCTCTGCGTGTTGTGTACCCACTGCAGTGTACCAAACCCTGTACACAGATGATGTACCCAACGTACGGAACGCTGAGGTTTATGCCTGTCCATGTGTTCATCTTCAGGAGGACGCTGTATTTTCATGTGGCTTTAAATGGCTGCCCAGCATCTGCCACCCCGACCTGAAGGACCCTTCTAGCATTCATTGCAGAGCAGCTCCATCAGTAAAGAACACTGTCAGCCTTTGCTCCTCTGGCAATGCCTTAATTTCTCACTGATTTTTAAAGGACACTTTTTCCAGGCGCAGAATTATTGGCCAGCAGGTGTTATAGTTCAGGTGAGACAGAATCCCATCCCGAGGGAGCCCCCCAACAAGCCAGAGTGTGCAGAGAAGCTCCGCTCCTGTCCTGTGTCCGGAGGAGGAACGGGGACTGGGGTGGCCTCTTCCGTCCGCACCCCAGGCCGCGCTGCGCAGAGGGCAGGACAAGAGTGCGCAGCGACACCACAGACGTTCCTGCCGCCGTCTGCCTGCTGCCGTGGCCCCTGGTAGTCTGTACCCGGTCCACTGTAGCTTACCCGGTATTTCCGTGGGTATCAGCGTCCCAGAGCTGTGTGGCCCACCCTCATGCGGACATGCCCCCCCCCCGAGGGAGGGGCCGAGAGCACAGCACAGCACCTCGCAAAGTGTGGTCCTGAAGGCTGCGGCAGCATCACGTGGACGGGTAGGAAGGCAGATTCTCAGCTCCCCCCCCCAGACCCGCTGGGTCAAGTACTCTGGGGGAGGCGGGGGGGCGCCAGCAAACCCTCTGGTGCCTCTGAAGTGGGCCAACATCAGCTTTCACGTCTTAGAAAGTCTTTGGGCTGAGGCAAAAACTAGAAGGGCACGGAGAGAGAGAAAGGCAGGCTTCGGCCCTGCATCAGCCACATGAGGGGCACAGGTGAGAGTCCTGTGGACCGAGGACTCGGGTCCGTCCTGTGTGCACAGTGGACCAGCACGTCCACACCTGTCGTCCCCTCGGGTGTGCTGAGTCGTCCCACCGCCAGGGTCTGCTGCACAAAGTCACCGTCCCCGATCAGGGCAAAGTGTCATCTGGTGGAGGCAGAGCCTCTGACTTCGAAGGCTCATCTGCCCACGGGCCGGGCCCCTGCCCCCAACAGCTGGGGCCGGGCCGGGGGGGGGGGGGTCGGCACTCAGCAGGGGAGCCCGGACCTGAGCTCTCTTGTCGCCTGCAGCCCCACGTTCAGTCCATCTCCATTCTCATGTGTCTGCCCTCTCACAGCTGAGCTCGTCCGGAACCTTTTCCAGAGCCGGCCTCCTCCCCAAGTCTCTGAGCAAAATGCCCCCCTTCCCCGCCCCCCTCAGTCAGTCCCCCAGAACGAGGAGAGCCCGGATTCCGCAACGTGTCCCGCTGGGCCCTTCATCCACGGCTGCAGCTCCTGCCCCTGTGCATGCACATCCCCTCCGGGCCCGGGAGCCGATCCCAGCCCATGGGGGGACCTAGGAGTCCACGGCATTTCTGCCGCAGACTGTGAGCCTCATGTGGCCTCGTGAGCCGTGGAGTTCAGGACAGCAGTGCCCACCGCTGAGCAAAGCCCACACTAGTCCTTCTCCGTCGCAAGGGGATGAACATTCCAAATGTGTTCCGTCTCACAGGTCCTCGGCCACCTTTCACCTAGAAGGGCTGGGGGCCGCCTGTGCTGTCACTGGTTTATCATTTCATGAAGCTTTTTACATAATATGAGCAGGTTACCTGGGAGGAGAAAGTGTTGTATCATGAACTGTCAGGAAAAAGGGAGTCTAGTAGGTCAGCTTTATTTTTCTTCAGTACACGACCTCTCAGAGCCTTTAATAAGAGACTTTTGAGGGGCACCTGGGTGGCTCGGTCGGTTAAGCGTCCAACTCTTGGTTTTAGTTCAGGTCATGATCTCATGGTTCATGGGATCGAGCCCCACCTTGGGCTCTGCACTGACAGTCGGGAACCTCCTTGAGATCCTCTCTCTCCCTCTCCTGCTCATGCACACATGCTCTCTCGCTCAAAATAAATAAATGTTTAAAAATCAAAAAAGAAAGAAGAAAATGCCAAGACTCTCAAAAGATGGAAAGATGGTCATTCTCCAATTTTATTTGAACACAAATCTTTTTAGTTTTTCTTCTTTGCCTGAACAATCTCATGAGCACGGAACAGACACAATCAGTCCCACCTTTTCCCTCCTTCCGTATGAAGTTTGAGTCTGTGTGAATTTATGTGGCGACTTCGTGCAGACCAGCCTAGAGAATCAGGGAGCGCACGACCCCCACCTCCAGCGGCGGCCCTCAGCCAGCGACGGCTGGGCTGGCAGACAGCCACCCCACTTCTCGGTCTCTGGGGAGGAACCACACATGGGTTCTGTGCCATCTTTCAGGGCTCAGAGCGCGGTGAGCCCCAGGGGCCGGCAGGGGACAGGCTCGTCTCTTCTGCATCCCCCTGCCCATCACCCCATCCAGGCCAGGGCCTCCTGGTCCCACATCCAGAAAATATTTCCCTGTACTCAGGCCCTTCTCTTGGAACTTGCTTTGGGGAAAAATAATTAAGACGGTCCTCTTGGTTTTTGGGGTTTTTTTCTGAGAGAGAGAGCAGGAGCGAGGGGGCAGAGGGAGAGAGAGAATCTCAAGCAGGCTCCACACTCAGTGAGCAGCCAGACTTGGGGCTCGATCTCATGACCCTGGGATCATGACCTGAGTGAAGTCAAAAGTCAGATGTTCAACCAACTGAGCCACCCAGGCACCCAGGACAGTCCGTTCTTGTTCAGTCCCCTTTACGGTCAAATTCAAATGGTGGAGAGCCAGATGTACCCAACAAAAGCATAGTCAAAAACTAGGTCAAGGAGCTGGGGTGGGGAGGTGATCGACGGGTATGTGAGGTGTGTTCTGAGAAGTAGCCCACTGGTATCTAATAAGTACCAGAGGCGTGAGCACTGGAGGCAGAGACTGAATATGCCATGTCCTGTGGTTCGCCAAAGTGCAACCACAACTACTAAAAGAAACGGCATCACTTAGACAAGAAGCAAGGTGGAAGGAACCTTAATAATTTTTCAGATTATGAAAGCCTTTTCTGTAGGGGACGACAACTGAGAAAAAGGAGATAATCTGTCCCCAATGTTTAAGGCCAAAATGGGAAGGGGGCTTACAACTGAGTCCCAAAGCTGTGCATGAAGAATGCCTCCCTCAGGCTCCTCAGCTGTGTCTTGTGACAGACACCCCGCGGAAGCCATTTGCAGAGAGGCAGAGCCCCGACCACAGCCACAGCGGCCATTATGCCTGTGAGCCCTCCTTCCTGGCTGAAGTCGTCCATCAAGGTCACTGAGACGCAATTAGAATGCAGAGGCCTCCGTACCCACGCCCTTGGCTAATTGAACTCACCCAGATGTTTTCTTTTCTACTCGGTAAAATGATGACATTATTGGAGGTTAATAGTTAAGGGTTTATCTAAATTAGGTATCCGTAAAGTTCTTAATTTAGCTACTGAGTGCCTAATAGAAATGAAATTGGACCTGGAGATACTGACTATATTTCAATCTTGCGGAAGCCACTTTGCACAAAGCACCCAGGGCTAGGTCACTAAGAAGTCCCCTCTTTCTACATAATACCTTTAATTTCTGCTAACAAGGACCTAATTTTATGTAGGCTCTGTTAGGCTTCTCCTTTGGGAATTCTCTTGGGAAAAAAATCTGATTTCTGCTCTGAAAAACCCTTCATAAAAAGAAACCCTTCATAAAGCCGTTTGATCCGCTGCTGTAGAGCATCGTGAAAGAGTTAAATGAGAAGAAACAGAGGTCACGGGAGAGGTTTGGGATAGGAATGGGAGAAAATCGATAAGATCAGTGGATAATATGACTTAAAAAAAGTTGTTTTACTTTAAGGATAAATTGAATGTACTTAAGCACGGTGGAGAAGGTAGCTGGATAATAGGGAAGGGTATCAATATCTAAAGGGGCACAGGATCCAAGTATGAAAAATGAAAGCATAAGGGACACTGGTCAAAGGAAGTGAAATGATGGCAGAGAATTAGGCAGCTGTGGGAACGTGACAGCCACTGATAATATTTGATGCAAACTGTCCTGGGAAACAAAGGAAAGGGGGTCACTTCAGGTGACACAGGTTTGTCTTCTCCAGTCTGATAAAGAGATCACAGAAGGAGCCGCTATCCAGGGCAGAAAGCACGCAGCCCTGGCTCGGGTTTGAGGGACAGACACCTACTCTAGGGCATCTTGCAGGGGTGCGTCTGTGTGACACATGGTCATGGGCAGGGCGAGGAAGGTCCAGGGAACCAGTAAGGGCAGGGATGGACAGGCTGAGCAGGGGCCCCTGGGGGGTCAGCAGCTGGGGAGCTGAGGGAGCACGGCGCCCCCCGGGCTGTGACCCGTCTTCCTCTTATAAGAGCCCGGCAGATGGCACTGTGTGAGCGGCCCCTCCACCCACCCCCCAGCCCAAGTGCACGAGAGCGAGGTGCATGCTTTCCTGAGGTGCCCTTTATTGGTACGGGGGTGGGGGGGGTGCACAGCCTTCCTCTCCTGTTTGCTTTTTATTGCTTTTCTTTCTGTTGTTCATTTGTTCTTAAATGAAGCGCGTAACTTCCCCACGAAGCTAATGATTGCCCACGCTGTGCCCAGAGCTCACCTGGGCAGGAGCCTAACTGCCCTACACAGGGTCGGCACGCTGACCAGGACGCCGTCACCGGGCCGATTACAGTCCTGTGTTCACCTCGGTCTCCAGACCTCTAAGGAAAGGCTCTAGAGTCTTCCAACAGGAAAGTGAAGCACAAGTCTGTTTGGTGAACTCCACGGTTCGATGCCTAGTTCCTGCTATTGTCTGTCCTCCTTGCTAAGAAAACCATTATCGTCATCAGCTGCTACTGAGGATTCCCCGATAGCATAAACACTGCTGTATCTTGCTGATAGGAAATGAGTTAAACCATAAGCCTTCCCGTGCTGGGGGTCTTAGAGGTAGGGCCGGTTTGAGTTGTGGTCCCCCATCTCAACAAAATAATGATCAAAATAACCCGAATGCCACTGGGTTAAAGACAGAAGTTCCTCCATTCACTCCCCAGAGCTGGGGTGCTCCCAGACAGTGTGACCTGTCCATTTGAATTTTATTAGACACATACGGGCTTTAAATTCTGTAATGGGTTAAGTCGCTTAAAAGACACTTTCCAAATATTTGGGTGGAAGATGACCTCTGCAGCACCATGTGGCCTGACAGCCCCAGGACCCGGCGGCGCCCCGCCCGGGGAGAGGGGCAGGGGGGCACCACGAGCAAGTGGGCCCTGTGGCACCAGCCAGGCCCTGCCCTTCCGTAACACCTTCATTTTACACCTATCTTCCCGCGTGGGTTCTCATGGGCTTTGTCACAAAAAGGCAATTATGGGGCAGACCATTCAAACTTCCTCATTTCGTTGAAAGCCAACATTTAATAACATTTGCATTTGTTCGTATGCTCAGTGCTCGGAGTTACGTTCCTCTTATCAGCTTGTTCTCTTGTTATTCCGTATTTCACTCCTGCTGACAAGCCCTCTGACTCATTTACGCCCGTGTTCACCGGTCACGTCCACTGCCCCGAGGCGATGGTGCTCCGTCCTCCGAGTCCCTTGGCGCGCTCTCCGTGAGACCCACCGCGGCTCTCTGTGGCGGCTGGTTTCTCCGCCGCCTCTGTCCTGGCCGTGTGCGGAACCTCTCTGAGCCTGAACTCTACAGTTACAGTCTCCCATTTCCTTTCTGGCTTGTGTCCTGAAAACAATGACGTCTTCGGCAAACCTGCTCTTATTAATATTAATACCTTAGTCACTTGGGCAGCTGATATTTCCAAGCAAGTTGCAAACGCCCAGCACTGTCCTCAGGGGCTTTGTGTCTGCGAGAGCGTGTCAGCGGGCCACTGCACTGTGTGTGTCATGGGGAAGCTGAGTCTCAGGTGTGGGGGCCCATCTCTGGAGCGAAGGAACAAATCCAACACGGTTTGGGTGACTCCGTCCCAGCCACAGACTGCATCACTGTTGGGTGAACGCGATTCTAAGTGGATCAAAACAGTAGTCAGAGCAGGAGGGGAAGAAGCAAGTACTACTCATGGGAGGGAATGGTTTTCTGAGGGGTAGAAGCGGCCAGCGGTGTAGACCCTAGTCACCCGGGGAGTAGGAGCGGCCAGCCCTGTAGACTTTGCCGACCTGGGGTTGGAGGGTGGAAGCAGCCAGTGGTGTAGACCCTGCTGACCCAGGGAGGGGGGAGTAGAGGCAGCCAGTGGTATAGACCCTGCTGTCACGTTAGCCCAGCAAGTCTAGATCCTGAGGTCGCAAGCAGCAGTTCTCAATCCTGGCTGCGTGTTGGAATTACCTTGGAAGGTGTAAGGAGAAGGAAAACAGAACCCCCCCTGCCCAGGCCACAGCGATTAAAATGGGAGCTTGGGGGCAGACCACGTTTGCTCCACGCGGCTCTGAAGAAGCGGCCATTGACCCGCTCCTCGTCCACACCCTGGTTCTTCAGCCATTCGAGTGCAAGCAGTGTGACATCTCATCATGCAAATGCGTGTGTGAGTGTCCCACAGCCCAGGGGAGGTCGACATACAGGAAGCAGCACATGGTAGGTGCACTTTGACACATGCATACATGGAACTGTCACCATCACCAAGGTCATGGGCACGTCCACCAGCCTCTTCCACGGTTTTCCTAAGACACACGCTTCTCCTCAGTGGTTTCTCAGGAAGGTTTCCACAGCGCCCCCCACGGTCGCAGGGGCCACAGCTGCTGATGTTAACGCCCGTCGTCCCTGCAGATGGAAACCAGGAACGTGGGCTTGCCAGGCTCCTGTGTCCACGTCCAGCTTCTTAAGGGGAAGGCTGTACCCTATGCAGCCACAGAACGGAGGCCACGGCTGGTCTGAGCAAAGCTTTCCCTCAGTGCCTTTCGGGGCCTCCGGACTCATCCAAAATTCACACTGATGACACTTCTGCCCCTGGTTCCACAGAGGGTTTGTGAACAGTCCCTGTGCCGTGTCCTCCACACTTGTCCCCACTCCGACAGACACCCGGGCTCTCTCCCTCCCTCCAGTCACCTCAGAAAGCGGCTCATTTCTGGGCCGTCATACTGCCTGTAGTCCCGGAAGGAGCCGGACCACGTGTCACCTTCACATGTGTCCTATGGAGGCAGAGAGGATGCACATGTCAACCTGCAGCTGCTCTTCCTTCTCCTCTTCACACCTGTTGTCACACGTGTTCCCCCACACGGCTCGCGTGCCCACGCGTGTTCCCCAACATGGCTCGCGTGCCCATGTGTGTTTCCCAGCACGGCTCGCGTGTTCAATTCACACATCTATGCTTGTGTATCAAACACCACAAAGCGTCTGAATACCTCTCCCCTGGACGACTGAAGAGTACTTTTAGCCTGCATGTTCAGCCCGGAAGTTTTTAATTCTTCCTTCAAGTTAAAACTACATGTGATTTCTCCTCTGTCAAAACTGCAGCAGCTGTCTGCTGGCTTTGGGTGTTCTCCCCCGGCGCCATTGTGCCGTGGCAGCCGCAGTAACACCCCGTCTCGCTGCACACAGGAGACCTTCGTTTCTCCCGGCTCTGGAGGCTGGACGTCTGAGGCCCGGCCTCCGGCAGACCCCGTGTCCGGTGACAGCCTCTTCCTGGTCGGTGCACGGCATCTTCCCGCCATGTCCTCACATCAGGGACAGCAGAGACCAAACATGCCTTCTTATATGGACACTAGTCCCATCAGGCAGGGTCCACCCTCATGACCTCACCCCCTGCCCCAGAGGCCCTGCCCCCCAACACCACCACCCTGGGGCGTAGGCGTCAACGCAGAGCCCCTGGGAGGACACAGGTGTTCGGTCTGAGCACACGTCTCTAGCCACACCTCTTCCTCCTGACACCTGATGGCCGTCACGTCGTTGCCTGAGTGGACCTCGGGGGGACATCATCTCACGCTGACAACACCTTCTGGAAACAGGTACAAAAATCCTATTTTATGGAAGGGAGAACTGAAACTCTAAGAGGTTAATTGATTTTTTTTTCTCCAGGATAATCTCAGGTATTTGTAGAGACAGAGCAACCATGCTGTCTCAGCTTCTAATATAAAGCGTGTCCTCTGCGCTATTCAGATCTTCACGCAGCGCTCGGAGAAGGATCCTACTCACCTGTGCACCCAAACGTACCTAATTTAATCCCGCCGTTAAGATGCCCTAAGTTGGGCGTACAAAATTACAACTATACCCACCAGCTTTAAGTAACTAGGAAGTTCCATTCCTGTTTTACAATTAAGTGATTAAACAATCAATTTTCAAATATTTCCTTAATGAAGTCATAAGCTTCAAGAGACCAACTGCTACAATTAAATTGAGAAGAATGGGATGGAACACAGACAGTCGGTGCTCCCGGCCATAAGTCAGGTGCTCAGGGAGGAGCGCCAGGCTGTGAAAAGGAACACAGGAGAAGCCAGGCTCCCAGGACCCGCCAGGAGCCACGGCCTGAAGAGGCTATGTACCAACCACGCGTGTACTAACGTCCCACCCTCACGAGAACATGGCAAGAGAGTCAGAAATGATTACGTTTTTTAACAAATGCACAAAGTCTTGCTCAGAGAGTACAAGTGACTTACCCTAAGCAGCACAGCTGTCGAGGGGCAGAGAGGTGCGTGCACTCTGCTCCCCTGCCGGGCGCCCCCTTCACACCCCCAGCTCTGGCCCCCTTTGCCCAGGAGTGAAGTGGGGAGATTCGTGCAAGGGGGAGGCCGTGAGCACGCGTGCAAGCCCAGGACGAGCAGCCGCCACACCGGGCCACATGCAGAGCCCTGTCCTGATCCCCCAACAACCGCCCCCGCAAGAAGAGTAGAAGTATTAAGTGACAGTAACATTCACGTTCCAGGAATGGGGACACACAGGCTCAGAGAGTTGGAGCAAGTGGCCCAAGGAAGAAGGAATTCTGTCCAGAGAGTGGGGGAGCGGGGACGCCTCACTGTCACACTCCCATCCTATCCACGGAGCATGCCGTCCCTTCGCCCTTCCCCCTCCCCTGGCCCGAAAGCCGGGCGTGTGGCCCCATGTGCCGCTGACGTCAGTCCTCCCAAGTCCCGGGGGTGTCCAGGGACGCAGAGCGTCGCCGCAGGAGCGCGGACCACAGGACAGGGTGTCGCGCAGCTTGACTGCATGCCGTCGTGTCCAGCAGGAGGCCGGTGAGGTGCTGGCCTGCTCGGCCCCGAGTGCCGGGCGGCCCACGGCAGCTGTGCCCAGCGTGGTTAGCTCCCTCCGTCTCACGTGCTCCTAACGCAGCCCGCCCGGCCCGTGAGTCCCGCCTCGGTGTGCCGCGCCCCCCATCCTGCCGGAGCCGCTAACCGGCTAACCCAGGACTGGCTGCTAAGTGTGTCCCTCCGGCCAGAGCCGTCGTGTGTGGGAGTGGGAGCGGGGACGTGGTCTGGATGGGACACAGGGGAACGTCGCGTGCTCAGGAAGGTGGCAGTAATGGCAATGAGGCCGCAGAGGTTCGGAGCAGGGGCTTTGGCTGCCCCCACCCCCCTGAGAAGTGGAGACGGGCCTTGGTCTGGGGCATGTTTTCCACTCGGTCCGTGGTTCCCTGGAGAAGGAGCTGGAACTCGTTTGTGCTCAGCGTCCTGGTGCGTGTCTGTCCCACACAAGTCCCCAGGCCGGGTCATGTGCCCGCGGCTCTGCGTGATGGCGAGCTGCCCCCCGCGGTGCTGTGACGCCTCTGTCTCACCCGCTGCTTGAAGCGCCGTCGGCCCACCGTGCTCGTGTCCGTGTCTGTCACCGTTCATCCGGCTCCCGTGGGCGTTCTCGTGAGCGTCTCTCGGGCCCGTGGACAAGGTCAGAGTCCTCTTTGTTACACTCGTGAGTAGCGAGCGCTTTCTCCAGACGCAGCTGCTGATTCCTGCCCTTCGTGAAAACGCATGTTCTCAGCCGGCTAGTGAGGGGCCAGCCAACGCGGGCACTGTTGTCACCTGGGCCCACAGAGAAGCCACTGGGTGGAAGTGCCTGGTTTTCTGCTTCTGGTCCTGTTTCTCAGCTCAGCCTCAGGTAGCAAGTGGCCGCCTCTCCCGGGCCCACAGTGGGAGCCTGAGGTCTGAAATGGAGACATGACCACGCTAACACAGAGGAAGCTTGAAATCTCGACTGAAACCTGATACCAGCACGTGAGCCCCACAGGGCGGTGTCGAGTCAGGGTGCCCCCCGGGTCACACAGCTGAGACGTTAGGAAACCTCCTCACACAGGAGAGAAGCCCCCAGTGTCCTCTGCTGGCCCAGGAAGGGTTCATAGGAGAAAGGCGGGGGGAGGGCTCCTGCTGGGTCAGGGCCGCAAGGGGAAAAGCTAACCCAGAGAATCTCAGTAATCCAGATATTATACAATTACATGATTTCAATCTCGTTAGCTTAACTTAGCTTCGTGGGAAGTTACTTCATAGTTATGAGAAAGCTATAGAAAGAGCCTATTTTGAGAATTTTGCTAGTATGCTTGCTTAAAAGTCAACCCACCATTTATCTGACTTTTTTGGTAGTTTCTGTGACATTAATTGGGGCCAGTATGTTGAGCATGTTAACTTGCAATACAAAATCGAACATTCTTTGTTGTTTCCATAACATAAAAAGAAAATGCAGAATCACAGAATTAGCAACAGTTAATTTCTCTGAGCTCAACTCCTGTGTAACAAGCAGAGATTAAAATGCTGTTACTGGGGTGCCTGGGTGGCTCAGTCGGTTAAGTGCGCAACTTTGGCTCAGGTCATGATTTCACGATTTGTGGGTTCGAGCCCTGCGTCAGGCTCTGCTGACAGCTCAGAGCCTGGAGCCTGCTTCAGATTCTGTGTCTCCCTCTCTCTGACCCTCCCCTGCTCACGCTGTGTGTGTCTGTCTTTCAGAAATAAATAAAAAACATTTTAAAAAATAAAGTAAAATGCTGTTACAATGTCAAACTTGAAAATTAAAGAGACCATCTGCATAATTTCCTTAATACTGAAGGCATCGATGGTCCAACAAATGTTAAAAATCCCTTTTGATTTTGACACCATTAAGAGATTGTCACAGGGGGAAAAAGTACAACTTAAATTTCCATGGAAATAAATAAAACTGGTTGGCTTTACCTCCCGTGTGGCTTTGCATGAGTGGAGTCCTCCTAGCCTGACAGGAAGGACTGAAGTGAGAGTTCGTGGAGGTGACCTGGAAACAGTCTCAGGAAAATACTGTTAGCCACTATTATCACCATGAAAACTGGCCTCAAAAACCACTGGAGGAAAACATGAATTTTCTGTAACAGCTTTTGTTAGAGGAGTTACTCTCTGTTTTGAAAGACTAAGCACACACATGCTTCTTTCTTTGAGATGTTAGAAAGCGAACGTTAGGGGCGCCTGGGTGGCTTAGTCGGTTAAGCGTCCGACTTTCGCTTAGGTCATGATCTCGCGGTTCGTGGGTTCGAGCCCCGCGTCGGGCTCTGTGCTGACTGCCAGCTCAGAGCCTGGAGCCTGTTTCAGAGTCTGTGACTCCCTCTCTCTCTGACCCTCCCCTGCTCACGCTGTCTCTCTCTCTCTCTCTCCTAGAAATAAATAAAACATTTAAAAAAAAAAAAGAAAGAAAGTGAACGTTAAAAGGAGGACATATGAAGAAAAATAATGAAAACAGTAGACAGGAATACTGATTTCCCAACATACTTTTTTTTTCAAGACAATTTAGCTTGTTGGAGGAAAAAGATTTTCTAGAAATATTTCTGTTCCTACTGCCCGCCCCCCCCCCCAGCAAATGAAAGCAGGTATCCAATGCACCATCCAGAAGCTGGCATCTGGCCTACCTGACACTTGTACTCAGGCGCGTGATTCAGCTGGTACCATCAAGTGAGCAGAAAAACCGGCGGCTGTTGAGCCCAAGTAGAAAGTATAATGACAAAATGTCCCTGCGGAGCACGAGCCATTCATTGCCTTAGCTGTGGCGATGACTGATGGGAGGTGTGTACACATGAGTTTTCATGGCCGGGTCTTCCGTGGGCTGAGCTGAGGCGCAAGAAACCATGTGAAACCCACCTGCTCTTTACAGCCCATGCTCCCCGGCAGACGCCTCCTCAGTTTAAAGCAGAGTCCCACTCCCTGGCGTCCCCTGTCTTTCTCCCACTGGGCTCTAGAAAACACTTCGGGGAGTA